TAACAATGCACCATAAACAACTACCTACCTACTACTCATCCTACCAGCAAATAAGCTGTACACATCTCTAGCTATTCTTAAAATCCAGTCACCACACTTCAAATTTTTTGGGCAAGAAACAAAAAGAAAAAAAAACAGTATTCTTTTAGCCAGCGAAATCATGCAGCATTTGGGCCTCCATCAGATTCCGATAGCGCAAATTCTGCCCCTCTCCGTCCAAAATAGAGAACTGAACCGGCTGGCAATCTTCCATCTGTTCTCTTGAAAAGAACATAGTCTGCTGATTCGTCGGCGAGAACGAAAGGCTCATCCCTCCTCCGGTGTGCTGCTGCAGGCCCAAAGTCAAGGAAACCCCATTGCCAAAGTTCTGGCTGCTACTGGATTCATTATAAGCCGAAAAATCCAGATCAACTACACCCAAGTTCTCTGCCCTTGGAACTTGATGTTTGTTGATCATGGAGGTTAGCGAGTCTGAGTCGATGCGGGGGTGACTAGAAAAGGGCTTATGCTCATGGTCCTCATCAAGGGAGGAGATAGGGTTAGGGTTTTGGTTGGAGCGTAACAGTGTCGAGTTAGGCCGGCTGTTGTTGTCGTTGCTTTCGCATTCGGGTGTCCCTTGTGAGGAATGCTGGTTGTCCTGCTCTTTTGTTTCTTCCATGTACATTTCTTCTACCATTGGCTTCCAGAGCCTAACCCTGGCGTTAATGAACCAGTTGGAGACCTACGACACGGACAAGATTAAATTAATTAACTAACCGCATCAGTATTCATATGTTCCTGATATATAATTAATCAGAAGACTAATTTAAGAGTACAAGGGTGCAGTGCATGGGTATGTTCATCGAATATGTGATCACTTAATATAATGATTGAAAGAGACGTTTTGGATACAAACGCACCTGGCTCCTGGATAGTCCAGTTTGCCGTGCCAATATATGCTTATCCACGTCGCTGGGATACCTGTTTGAGTCAATTTTCATGTATAAGTCAAGCGATTATGGCTAGAAGAATTAAATAAATAAAAGGAAATTAGCAATTAATAAAAGGAAGCGAACCCTCTCTGCCTAATAAGAAAAATTCCTCAAAGACCTAAAATATGAGACCAATAGAGGGGACAAGTGATGTGTCTCCCTCCTATAGGATAATGAGTTGGCTATCATTAATGATGGTCAACTCATTATCCAATAGGATGGAGACACCTCACTTGTCCCCTCTATTGGTCTCATATTTTGAGTCCCTGTAGCAAAGCTCGCCTAATAATACTACATACAGGAGAATCGCTAGCTGTAACAAGAAATATGCTAATCGACCTAGCTCCAAGTTACGATACAGTTATCATGAACACAATGATATAACTAGCTCTGGTAACAATCAAGATATAAAACCACACTAACGTAGCATTAATTAATCAGCTAAAGATATCTTTTATGCAGTACTCTCAAGAGAAGCCTCTAACAGCGTTCATGCAAGTAAAACACTTGTTAATTTAACAGAAAGAGCTTTTTATATATAGCCCTTTTATTAAAAAAGTAAAGTAGAATAATACACAAGATGCTTACATATACATACGAGTAAAAATTACGTTTTCTTAGAAGTTGAACGGACTATTTCATCAGGGAAAGAAAAAAAGCGTACTAACCCTAGTCTTAGTTTATTGTTAAAACAAAATCACATAGTACTAGAGAACTGTAATAATTTAACATAATCAAGTTGGTAAGGCAGTAATTGACTCGGGTTAAATAGAAGAAAAAAAGGACAAAAGAAAACTCTATCGACAGTCGTGCATGTAACTGTGCATGTACCCAACTGTGTGTGATGAGACTTTGGCATGTTTCATACCAATCTTCGTTAATTTAAACCTAATAAATAATAAATTACCGCTAGCAGGAGCCACCGCAGCAACGTCATAAAATACATAGAATGGTGGCTCAGTGCCCAATGCTCCCACCATTGTATTCAACCTAGCTTACTGATCCCTAGAATTTGGATCATCTCCCACTACCAAAAAAATAGCGGAGAAACCACCGCTTTTAATTTAAGGACCCAGGACTCAGTTTCTTGTAATTAATTTATTTATTTGCATAAGAATTAAGCCAAAGAAATATTTCATTTAAAACAAAAATTGATAAACAAGTCTAAAAATAGAGAGATAGAGGGGAGTTACGGGTGAAGGAAATGCTCGAAGAGCCAAGCCCGAAGAATTGAAACAGAACGCTCAGGAAGTCCTCTCTGCGGCCTCCACGGATGGCTCTCCATAGCTCCACCCTGCTGAAGCGACTGCTGTTGCCTAATACGCTGATCGAGCAGCTTCAGCCTCGGCGTCTCCCCCTTGGTCGATCCGGGCACAACCGGATCCTTCTCCCCCATTGCCTTCTTCGTCGCCTGAATCTGGCTCACAATCCCATCCCGCAGGTACCTGAAGTGCCTCGACACCGGCCACAGTCTCAAATGTCGACACCACTGCCCGCATTTGATTGCAGTATCTCTTGTATCTCGTGTCAACCTACAAGTTACGGTAATAAACAAAGAAACAAAATGTTATACGTGTAGTGCTAGTATCGCAGCGTTTGTAGTGAGGCTTGCAGCGCTTAGAACTTTGTCGAACAAAAATAATGATGATAATAATCAGGAAATTAATTATACTTTTTTTTTTTTGGGGGGGGGGGGGGGGGGGGTGGGAAGAAATTAAGTTTGGTGGGTCCCACCTTAATAAGGGGGTGATGGAGGGCTGGTAGGGCTAAAGATAGATTATAGAGTGTAGGGTAGATAACCTAGGTAGGCAAGGAATAGAGGTTTCCGAAAGGTTAAAATGGGAAATGCCCTAAAATATCAATCTGTCCCGGCTGCCTGCTCAGTCCTAATCACTAATGGTAAGGTTAGCTGCCTGCCAAGTCACGGCCGCATATTGAACTTGAACCTCCAATCCTCATTATATCCTCCCAACGCAATCAATTGTAATTTTGGATTTTGAACCCTCCACGCACTTCTCCCCTGCTCACGCGGAGAAAACAACCACCCCCCCAAAAAAATAATAATAGTATCATATTTTCCAGGGCTTAAATCTACAAATTTCTTATTATGACGGAGGTTAGGGTGGGGGGGGGGTGGGGTGGGGTGGCAGGTTTAGGTTTTACCTCTTGCTAGGGCATAGAAAAGCAGCTTAGCTTTGAGCTTCTGAAGTTCCAGCGCATCCATGGAGAAAATAGAAGACTGATTCCTAGATGACGACTCTCCTTCTTTACTCTTCAACTTTCGCTCCCTCTGGTTATTGCTAACTCCTTCAAGGTTACAGAACTCGCTCAGTAGCTCCTGAGCAGGAATTAGGTACAAGGAGTTCTTCAACTGATACGTCTGATAAAACCTCGCATCCGTCATCGACATCTGCTGCTCCTGCTGATAGTTCTGTTGGTGACGTGGGAGGGATAACGACAGCCCTTGATTTTCAGCGAGCATTCGATTTTGCTGCTGCCATGGACTAGGATATTCCACGAAGTTGCCCTCGGCTTTGGGGATTCCTAGCATCTCCATCCCTGCCTGCAGCTCGAAGAGCCCGTGGTGGCCCGCATCGAAGCCCTGCAACGAAGGAGAGCTTTGAGCAGCAGAGGAGAAGCAGTTGAAGCCGTAGGCGCTCTCATGAGCCATTTTCCAATCGAGAAGGTACTCTACTCCCTGCGTGAAGCAGATCAAAGAAGAAGGTAATTAAGAGAGCGAAATAAGGAACGCGAGGAAGGAGGAGGATGCATGTGGGTGACCTAAGTAGGTACCTGCCAAATTTAGGAGGGGAAACGGGCTGATGCTATTTTAGGCGGAGGCTCTCTCTGATGCGATTCTTGAATCATGAGTAGGAGGTTGACTACGTCTTAGCTCAACGACAGCTAGCGAGAAGAAGAAAAAAAAAAAAAACACGAGCATCATACGATCTTCTATCTCCTGCACGGCTCAAACTCAAAGTGGAGTGGGAGTTTATAATAATTGAAACAAGGAAAAGGGATGGGGGTTGTGATGTGAGATTTGGCGCGAATCCCGAGCGGTTCTTAAAAAGTATTTTTCTTCGTTTTATCTTGGCTGGTTCGAGTAGAGCTTTTTTCCGGATGGGCTTCTTCTGTTGGGGGCTCTGTGCTGCTGGTGCTCTACTGCTGCAAACCTATGAGCTAGAGATCTAAGGATTTTTAGAGCGAGTGAGAGAGTATGAGAGAGAGAGGAGAAACAGAGAGAGGGGGAGGAATAGATGCGAGCAGGGAAATTTCCAAAATGGGGCTGCTGGCGCCGACTGAGGAGGGAGAGGTGGTCCACTGTTTCCAACTAAGTCCCATTAAAAAATCTCAAAGCAGGGGGAGGGCCAAGACAAGGGAGGGGACCACATCCCCGCTTTCATTTTCCTCTCCATTATTACTACATTTTCCCTCTCGGGTCCATTATTACTATATTTTCCCTCTCGGGTTGTTTTTATACATGGGTGGTGCTACAGGACCCAAAAACATGAGATCCTACATAATTAAGACACGTGAGGTGTCAGCTTCCTGTCGTATGATGTACTGTTTAACAGTGCATCATGGGACAGGGAGTCGACACCTCACGTGTCCCGTGTAGGGTACCATGTTTTTGGGTCAATAATTTTTCTGTATTCTTGTTGAGTGTAAAGAAGAGTATAAAGCCATAATGCAGTTTATAGCACGTCCATGAAAGAAAATATGGATTCTGATCCTCTCCACTACAAAAAAAATAGTGAAAGGACCACTACATAATCACAGCCATTGATTATCTAGTTGATGGTTATGATTTTTTCTTTTAGTGCAAATTAGGAATGAGTGCAATACACGGGGGTATGGTAAGTGTTAAATTTAGATTGTATCATAACCGCCTACTAAATAATCAACGCTTGAGATTAAAAGTAGTGGTCTCTCCACTACTTTTTTTTGTAGTGGAGAGGATCCAAATCCAGAAAATATATGTATTGAATTTTGACTCCTCTATTTCCATGATTAATTGACAAAAGATCAAAGCACATTGGAAATATAACTAAAGTTTTAAGATTTATTAGTACAACAGATTACATCCTTCAATGCTTAAACATGCTAATAGCCGTGTTTAGAAGGACATGCGTGCAAAATTATAAATGTATGGTTAGTTTTCTCCATCAATGCATTATCTTACTCCATTTTAATTTCTTTTTTCCACCAAAAAAATATAAACAAATAGGTGGGCCACTCATCATCCGGAAAAAGTTTTTTTTTTAATTTAAAGGACACAGGTGGGGCCTCTCACGCATTTTGCACTCCCTCCTACTCCTACTCCAACCCTCCTTATTCATATTATTATGCAAGTCATAATTAATTATAATATTAATATAACAAGTCTTAATCCAATCCCCACTCGTAACGTATAATTGATCTCATAATCGCATCCGGCCTCCGCTGTTCCCCTGTGGGATCAAACAAGCGAGTCACGCGTGTAGCGGTGATAACATATAATAACTACCACGTACGTACATTATATTTTAGACACGAATTATATATAAGAAATTTTCCCTCTCCGTGGCCGAAGGGAATTAATATTATAACAATAACAAGGGAGAAGGACAAAGAGAATTTTAGAGGCCTTACGAGGATTTTTGTCTAAAAATGCTACAAATTTCACCTTTTTGTTGATGGAAGGAGGCGTCCTCGTGCGAGGAGAGCGAAGAGGTGTTCATCGGCTGGAGGTAAGATTCAATGTGCCACGTACAGAAATTACAATGCTGGTGACTAGCCAGCCTCACGAGCTCATGCTGACTTCATGATCACATCTACTCGCTTATTATATACGTATTTAGTTTGTATTCTTATTATAATTACTATCCATATTAATTAATATTGTTGTTAATGTTGATGGTGTTGATATCGATCGATGCTGCCAAGCTTGGAGTTTTTTGCGGCCGTTTAAAGTTTCTCTAAAGATTATAAGATTTATTAGGTAGCAATTCTAATTTGCTTTTCATTAAACTTTGATTAAAATGAGCCTCTACAAATTATAATTGGTTCCTTTTTTATATGTGTTTATATAATTTGTAGCAATTGTTTAGTCTCAAATTCCTTGACAGAGATATATATCCACCCCTTCATTCTCAGCTTACAACACAATCTCGAAAAAGAAATCATGATCTTTGTGCGTGTATAAAAATCATAATGAACTTTTAAATTTAATTAATCTTCCAAGTAAATATAGTGAGATATTACTAAAAAATAAAGATGATGAGATTCATGCCTTTTGATGTGACTAGTTGATGTGTCTCATAACTAACTTATATTTTGATAGTTCATTGTGCTAAATGAGTGATCCCTCATACCCATTATTTCTAAATATAATGCATCTAAGCAGAGGAAAGAAAGATAGTCGATTATGAGAACAGTCCTTGGATAACATTGTCAAGTCTATATAATGTTTGTTAGTACCTTTGTTTTGATGATGATTTACAAACAATCCCTAACATCGTTTGTCTAGTGTTTGTATTTGTTTATTAGGTGTTCTAGACAAACATCGATGTTAGAGATTGGTTGGAATTGCGCTTACACGATCACATTCAATAGATGTTGGCGGAATACCGGAATGAAGCCAATGCAATTCAAAGTCAAGATCCGATCAAGCTTCATCCGCAACCAAGTTGAGCTTAACGAATATTTATAGCTTGGGTATATTAGTTTATGTTTATACTTTGTGTGTTGATACTTAGAGCTCAACACACAAATTGCTTTCGTTTTCATTGTTTTCGTTTTTAAGTTTAAATCGTATAAATATGAAACTAATAGTTATATACATATACATATATACTAGTTTTTTATTTATCGATTTTATTTTAAAATAATGTGTTTAGCCATATAAATATGAAACAAATGTATATAGTTATATTTACACAAATTGTTACATGTTTATACATGCTTACAATGATTTCATCAATATCAAGCTTTAACAAATTAATGAAATCATGTTTATTTGTAAAAGTATGTGTTTATGGATTAAATATTTAATTACACCATTTTATATCTTTTTCTAAGTCCATTAATCCATTCAAAATGAATATGCAAGTTTGTTTGTCAAAAACATGTGTTGTTAAATTTTCATGTTTTTGGACTATTTTGCAAAATGATGAGTTTTTACAAATGGGAAGTGAAATTTAAAAAATTCATTCTCTTACATGTTTTTATTCATGTTTATAAACATTTCCCAAAGTTTTACATTTTTAAAAATTTATTTGCTATTTTTTAAAGGGGTTTGAAAATCTGTTTTTTAGCTCAAAACAGTCTTTGTGCATGTTTTGAGTCGACTCACTACAGTATTGAGTTGACTCATGAACTATAGCATAGTTAGCAGTTTTATCTGATGGGTCGACTGATAAACTTGTGAGTGGATTTATGAACTGTTGCACAGTCAGCAGTTTTATCTGCTGATAAACCTATGAGTCGACTCATGTAGTTATTAGTCAAATCATGCCTGTCATAAGTCGACTCATAATATAGCTGTTGCACAGTAACAATTAGTTTCCAGATTTTTGATATTTTAATATTTTTATTAGATTTTGTTGGTTTCTTAGGCTGGTTTCTTCCACCCTATATATATCCCTTTGCCATAATTATTTTTAACAACCAAGAGAGATTTTAAACAAGTTTAAAGAGTATTTAAAGTTTGTTTAAGTGTGTTTTATAAAAATTTATGTGAAGAGGTTTTCACAAGAGGAAGAAGAAATCATCATTTTGTGTTTGAGCTTTCATCTCATCTCTTTCACTCTTGTTATCATTGGAGAAGTTTTCTAAACTCAATCTCTTTCACTCTTGTTATCATTGGAGAAGTTTTCTAAACTCAATCTCTAGCTATTTATATGTTTGATTATCATTTCCATAAGCTTCATTGGAGAAGTTTTCTAAACTCAATCTCTAGCTATTTATATGTTTGATTATCATTTCCATAAGCTAGAGTTTAATTGAGTTTATATTTTATTTTACTCTTTGTTTACACACACAACCTATTGAGTTTTTAGTATTTTATACATTGTATTATTTGGGTTGTGGTGAGTGTTACTTAGAGTGTGAGCTTACATTGAGTTCTCATCCATTGTAGAGGATAAATAATTTGTATTTGTGCTTATTTGTGAGATACACTTTATAATACATTTGTACACCGATAGGAGAGTGTGGTGAGAGATGGGGTCAATTCTAAGAGGAGTGGCGTCGGTAGTAAAACCTAGGAAGAGGTTGTAAATTCGAGCACTTGAGTAAGGCGACACGGGCTAGGCCAACACTTAGAAGGTATACAGTGTGATTGCAAGTGTGTGAGACTGTGAAAGTTTTCGGTGAGCTAGAAAACCGATTATGAAGTGTAAACGTTTTTGGTGAACGTTGAAAACCCGTTGTGATAGTGGATTATCCCCAGGAGTAGAGAGCGGAGACGTAGGTCGGAAGGACCGAACTCCGTGATCATATTTTTTATTCGATTATCTCATTAATTGCGCACTATCTCATTTGTTTAGTAGTTCATGTTTATATCGCCATTGTTTAATTCCATACACTTGCTCATATCTCATTGAATATCATATTTGCAAGAGTTTATAATTAATAAGTTTTAAATTGGCGTTAATATCGGATTAGATTAGCATATTACCTATTCAACCCCCAGGGTAATGTCAATGTTATCTCTTAATTTCTTTCCAATGAACACGCGCATACAATCTAATCACTGACTTTTTTTTCATAAAAAAATGTGCTTCTAAGTTTCTTTGAATATAATTAAGTTCAATTATGTTTATATATCATGGATTTTGAGTTTGCCCCAAAAGTATATAAAAAATAAGGAACTATTTTCTCCAAAACAAATAATTAAAAAAGTTATTAGTGTATTAAACTATAACTCTCAACTCTCAGTATAACTTCAAGAGTTTGGTGCAATGACAAGATTCTTGACATGATAGGAGAGTAATTAATGTAGATTTTAAAAAATTAATACTACTAGTCTTGACTTCAACTCATAAAAATTAATTTCAATCTGTCGGAGTCTGGTTGGAATATTATAACTTCCCCAATCCTCATTATAACTTCCCCACTTGCTGGGACCTTGAGAGAAGTATCACATATTTTGGATGATTAAAATAAATTTGAGGTTTCTAATTGGAGGGGGGGGTCCTACAGACTACAGTACATGCAAGGTGCGTACAAACGACGTCTCTTGCGGGCGCATTGGATGGCCCCAATACCTATCATTTTGGTCTCACCCAAGGACTCCCATTATTTAGGTGGGGTCCCATCTGATTAAACATTTGAAGGGATTAACGTTATGACAGTGTGAAAACTAACATATC